GCAGCTTCTTTTTCCTGCCTTACATTGTAAACAGGCTACCCCCACCTAAGGGGCATGTAGCTCTCACATAATCTCCATGTCCTCCTCTTCCACAGGCTCAGGATGTATACAAAGTAAGCACTCTGGCTTCCTGCTAAGGCACTTAGCTAAACTGCTAGACTTCCCAAGTTGACACAATGTATCGACCATAACAGGGTCAAAGAGAAGAAACTGGGGCATTTTTAAGGTTTTATTCTCAAGAACAGAAAATAAGTTAAATGTTATCTCAAGGATAGGCTTGAAGACCCAGGTGAGCACAATATGATCCAAAGAATTCGTCCTGGAAATAAAAGCAAACATCTTGTCCTACAGAGAGGGCTCAGGTGGGGTCATGTTGACTGTTTTGGTTTCTTTATCTTCATCCTTAGCAGAACATTCTTCCCTGAAAGCACTGTTATCTGCAAACCCATTCCTAATTCAGTTGATAGCATAACAGTCCTTTTAACATTAATAATATTCCAGGCTCCTGAGTCATAGTCTGATTGTCTTAACAAAGGCATAAAAAGAAAGCCTATCTTAAAGTGGATTGATGTGTGGATAATGATCTTACATTTGTTCTAATGGGGTCTAAGCCATGGCGATGTTTTCCAGTTCTGTCTTTTTATCTTGGAGAAAGGAAGTCAACAGCAGGGAAGACTCACGAGTTTCAGCACACCTGATTCTCTGAATGGGGCCAAGTAGGAAAGACAGCCACCTTCATTTATTCTTACTACAACTTTCTGTTTCCTTGAATGCTCTGAGTGCCAAGAGATGCTGCCTGTGTTTTTGTTTTTGTTTTTGTTTTTGTTTTTCTTTTTTCCAACAGTGTGATCCTGAGTATCCTTGAAAAACTAAAGATGATGTTTGGATTGGGCAGGGCTTATAAATGGGGTAACTTACCTAAAACTCTCCTGGGGCCAGGAATACAGCTCAGTGGCACAGTGCCTTCCTGGCAAGCACAAGGTCCTGAGTTCAATTCCCAGTACCAAAAAACAAAGCAAATGAAACTCTCCTGATATTTCATAGATAATTCCTATTCTAGGTCTGATAAAGTGCAGATTTCCTCTGAGAAGCACTCCCTTGCCTCCTACAAATTGGGGAAAGCTCTGAGATTTGGACCTT